GTTGCCGATAGTCCCGGGGGGTACCGGAACGCTATTCTCATCTCTGATGATAATATCGACCCCAGAACAAGCTACCCCTGTATTAAAATCTTCATATAGTGTATTTTTACTGATCCTTTTAGAAGTGAAGAGACTGGTTTCTGTAGACCCGTATAAATTGTATACAACATCGCAATGAGTTAAACAGCGATCAACGACAGCGGAAGATATTGGTCGAGCCCCAAGAAGACATCTTATGTGTTCCGGCCAGTCATTAGGTCTTCCTTTATTTTCTAAGACTTCGAAAAGTTGCATTAAAATACATAATTCTACAAATAGTAAATCGCATTTTTCTTGATTTATCAGGTCGTAAATAAATTGGCCAATGGAAGGAATTAAAGGAGGGTCTCGTTGGTCTATGTAAACAGATTTCAAGCCGGTGATTACATAGTGGTGAGGTAAACCTGGTAACCAACTTAATGAGTAACAATTCAACATCCCGTTTCTACATTTCGGCTGTACAGGCTCCAGGATGGATTTGAGAAGTAAATGAGAATGAACCGTCATTTTGGACATACCAGTTGTTCCAGACGACAACATTATGATTGCATCGGCGTTACCATCGTAACAAATGACGTCATCATCTGCGTCATTATTTTCTGGTAGTTGATTGGCCCATTTGAATCCAATATTTCGGTTTACCTCTGTGTACAAGACATGCTTGAGAAATGGAAGCGTTGTAGAAGAAACTGAATTGCCGTCTCCATTGTCGATTATCTCTGAAAATAATTTCCTACATTCGTCTTTAGGATCAGACGATAAAATTAGAAGTGGACTTTTAGTTTTGTTGATGTTTTGAATCAAATAATTGCCATCTTTAAGTTGAAGCTTCCCATTTAGAATGACGCAACCTGCAAGGATGGTGCCAAAAAACACAATTATCCCGTTAGGAGAATCGGGTAATAGATTACTAATAACTTCTCCAGGTTGTATACCCAGTTTCCTAAGCTGCCTGGCGAAATACACAGACTGGTCTAAAATCTCCTTACACGTTAGAGAGGTCCTCAAACCATCCTTATCAACAAACACGAAGGCTTCTGAATTCGGATGAATCTTTGCCCAATGCTGTAATCTTTCTGGAATGTTGTAATTTTGGAGTGAACCTGGTTCCATGATCTGAAAGTATATAATAAGAATCTTGATTAGTAATTTTTAGCCTAATAAGGATTATGTAAGTGTAAATTTAAAGTAGCCAAATCACAAAATAAATCCGCGAATATTCAAGATGTCGCTGCTCATGTAAAGAATGCCAGAATCAACCATTGATTTTCCACTAAACTTTATAAGCAACAACTCATCTCTCTATTTCACACAAACAATATTGTGATGTTTGCAATTTTCTAGGCATTAAAACAGTTTTTCAATCCTAACTGGTAAAAAGCAATTGAGAAATTTCTTTCTTTTTACTTTGGAACGTTACATGTTTCCGGTTTCGAAAAGGAGTTTTAAGCCATGCCTTTTACTCAGCTGTCAACTAAGCTCGTGATATGATTCTGGTATCTAGATGTACAGTCGCTGATGTTATGAATCTGCCACCATCCGACCCTACACTGCTCTCCCACTTGGAATTGACGGAATTGACCGTCGAATCATTTTTAGATAGGGTTTAAGTGGTGAATGGGTATAATCACAATCAAAGTAATCATGTCATGGATCAGAAACATGTCACTATTGTTTTTTGATCAATAGATTTAGCCGATAATGGACATGCCAAGAGGATAATGATGACGTTAAGAGGATAATGAACATGTTACTAGAGGATAATGAACATGGAAAACACACAAGAAACCTGTTAAGAAGAAGATATAAATGAACATGTAAAGAGGACAATGAACATGTCAAGACGATAATGAATATGGATAGAGGACAATGAACATGTAATGAACGTGGAGAGAGGACTATGAACATGTAATGAACATGGAGAGAGGACTATGAGCATGGAGAGAGGACAATGAGCATGGAAAGAGGATAGATAAATGAAACTGTAAAGAAGATAATGAACATGAAGAGAGGATAAGGATTATGTCAATATGATAATGAACATTAAGAAACTCGCCGGTTATTATGATATACCGGAACTGTGATATTTTAGTGTTGTTCAACAGTCAAGCTAGTGAATAAACTGATGATTAACTACATACATTACATAATTTAAATATGTGCATATTCTCATACATGGAAATAACACACACGAACGTAATTAACAGCCATTTTGAATCACAACCTCGATTTAATAAGTCGAATTATTAAAAAGGCCCAATATTTCAGCAATTCAGTCAATCAAAAATCTCGTCCAAAATGACAAAATCGTTTACTAAAGGTAATAAAGGAGTGGATTCCCCAATAAGAAGTACCATCAGGTGTTTCGAAAAGAGTAAGCATGGCCTGCTTCGCGTGCGACACCCGCCATAAGATACACCCAGATCAATTCATATCTGACCAAGACCAGAACTTGTATTTAACTCACCTCACCGATTGTTGTGATATTCTGGGGATTAAAATGGTGATATTTGAAAAGTGTTCCTTCAACTGTCAAAATGGTATAATACCAGTGAATATATATCAATTATATCAATTTAAAAACATGTTTTTTGCTCATTATACTCCATTGTACATCAACCATAACAAAACAACATATTGTGTACTCAGGCAATTTTTATATACGACAATCGACGAGTATTACATTATGCTGTCGTGTATATACTGAGGAAATTTCCACATTAGCAACTTTTGACCACATTTTCCTGGTATATCATCTAATTCTAATATAAGTGGTACATCATCTTAGATGTTCCAGTGGTACATTTGGTACATCATCTTAGTGGTACATCATCTATTGGTACATCATTTATTGGTACATCATCTTAGTGTTACACCATCTTACTATTAAACCATCGTAGTGGTATATCTTGTTATTGGTATATCATCTCAATGATACATTTGGTACATCATCTTAATGGTACATCATCTTAGTGGTACATCATCTTAGTGGTACACCATCTTATTGTTTCATCATCTTAGTGGTACACCATCTTAGTTGTACATCATCTTGTTGTAACGCCATCTTAGTTGTACATCATCTTAATGGTACATCATCTTATTGTTACTTGTGGTACATCATGTTAGTGGTAAATAATCTTATTGGTACACTATCTTAGTGGTACATCATCTTAGTGGTACACCATCTTATTGTTACATCATCTTATTGTTACATCATCTTATTGTTACATCATCTTATTGTTACATCATCTTATTGTTACACCATCTTATTGTTACACCATCTTATTGTTACATCATCTTATTGTTACATCATCTTATTGTTACATCATCTTATTGTTACATCATCTTATTGTTACATCATCTTATTGTTACATCATCTTATTGTTACATCATCTTATTGTTACATCATCTTAGTGTTACACCATCTTATTGTTACATCATCTTAGTGTTACATCATCTTATTGTTACATCATCTTAGTGTTACACCATCTTATTGTTACACCATCTTATTGTTACACCATCTATAAATGATGTTATTTCGTTTAAACGAAATAATAAATAAATATGTTTACAATTGCGCCTTAGGGGCTCCGTAAAAACCAAATCAGTGTTCCTATTTTAATGAGTGACAGTAAAGGCAGATATTTAAACAATATATTAAAAAAGAGACAGTTTAATTAATGTTAAATTTGAGTGTGAAAGCGAACGTAACAAAAAATCAGGAATAGAATATCTCGAACAAAAAATTACTCTGTGGATTGAAGAAGTTTCATTAGTTATAATTTACACTTGGCTAAGCACGTGTGACGTGACAACCAAATCATGGAGTTTGATTTCTGTTCAACTAGAACATTTCGAACATTCCAAAATTGTTTCATACATTTTAGAATAATACAGCAGAGTTATTTCTGTATCATTTTATAACTGTACTAAATTAGGCTGCAATTCAGACATCTTAGAAAAGAATTGAAGCGCCTATTATGCGACAATCCTTTGTTATCCTTTATCGATATCAGAAAGTTTGCATTAGATTGGACTGAAGAAGAAGCTCTTGGGGTGTTAAGCAAGAAGGGAGTGACCGATCCACCAGCATTGTCGAACCATTGTTCTCTTGTTATAATTTAATCCTTCAATGGCATATTAGAAGCACAAGTTATAGATAAATAAGACAATTATATGGATATATACTCCTGGAATATCTATTACTTCAACGTTTCAACGTTCTCACACTGTCATTAGGAATGTATTCTCAAATGGAAATTGGAATATATTCCCGATGAGGGTGTGAGAACCACATTGAAACGTTGAAGTTATAAATATTCCAGAAGTATATATCCATATAATTGTCTTATTTATTTGTTATAATTTGTTCTTCTGTAGTTTGCTGTGTAACTGTTTGTATTATTATATTTATTGTTCACTAGTAACTTAAAGTATATTTTGTGACTAACAACGACAACTTTTCACTCGGTCATACTACTTTCATCACAGATGTTTTTGTTTAACGACCAAGTAACAATATTATGTCGAGTTGGCACCAGATGTTTCTATAATTATACTTAATACACGAGTTTATTTTTTGACCTACTTTATATGTAATATTTATCAGCAATGGCAGCAGGGTCTGCTTACACTTCTGATCACTTGATGCCTCCGAAGATGCATTTTTCTAACTAATATTAAATTACCTTTACGATGATTGTAAATTAGATACTTTTACAGCCGATAATTTTCATAATAGCCATCACGGACTGGAAAAACGGCAGATGTTTCGGTCTAGAATGAATGATGTTTACTGACCTCTGATATTGTGACGAGTTTATTTAGAGTATACTTCACGCCCCTTTCCCGCTTCCCGCACACTTAATGCCAAGCCCCTTTTCCCCCTTCTAGTACACCTTATTCTAATCACCAACTACAACATTGTAAATCATTTTATTTAAATACACATAGATAATGATGATTATTTTAATATTTATTATATTAGAGACTATAAATACAAGAATATAGTTTAGGTTTAGAGATTTAAATAATGTTTAGCGTATTTCTCCGTGGCCATTCTATCTGGTTTTCTATTCCGATTGACAGGAATCTTGTCCATTAAAATAAAATATCGTGGACATGCTGGTACATTGTCTAGATCTGTAGGAACAAAACTATTCTTGCAGAATTCTTCTATTTGTTCCACGCTGTATTTTGATCCAGGAACCAGCACAACGCATGCGCATATCTCTTGATCAAACATAACATCCGGGACTTTTACTACCATGACGTCTTGAACTTCTGGACATCGTCTGATGACTTGTTCGATCCAAGTAGGATGAAAATAGTCTTCACCTCGGACTATGACGTCTTTTGTTCGACCAAAAACTATCAGTTCGTCATCTTTATTGAAGTATCCGGCATCATTCATATTGAAAAATCCGTCAGAGTCAAAGGCGTCATTAGTCAGTTTTTCGTCTCCGAAATATCTTTTCAGTAACCCCTTTGTTTTGACATAGATATTGCCGATAGTCCCGGGGGGTACCGGGACATTATTCTTATCCCTGATGATAATCTCGACCCCGGCAAGGGCTACACCTGTGTTAAAATCTTCATATGGTGTATTTTTGCTAATTGATTTACAGGTGTTATTAGTAGTTTCCTCAGCCCCGTATAAATTGTATACAACATCGCAATGAGATAGACAGCGATCAACGATGGCGGAAGAAAGTGGTCGACCCAAAAGAATACATTCAATGTGTTCCGGCCAGTCATTTGGTTTTCCTTTATTTTCTATCACTTTGAAAAAGTTCATTAAAACAGTAAATTCTATTGACAGTAAATCGCATTTTTCTTGACTAAGGAGGTCATAAAGAAATTGGCCAATGGAAGGAATTAAAGGAGGGTTTCGTTGGTCTATGTAAACAGATTTCAAGCCTGTAGATAGATAATGGTATAGTAAACCTGGTATCCATGTTAATGAGTAAGAATTCAACATCCCGTTTCTACATTTCGGTTGTACAGGCTCCATGAAGTATTTCATCAACAAATGGGAATGAACCATCATTTTGGGCATACCAGTTGTCCCAGACGACAACATTAAGAGTGCATCGGCGTTACCATCGTAACAAATGACATCATCTTCTGTGTCGTCATTTTCTAGTAGTTGATTGGTCCATTTGAATCCAATACTTCGGTTAACCTCTGTGTACAGGACATGCTTGATAAATGGAAGCGTCTTAGAAGAAACTTTAGTGCCGTCTCCATTGTCGATTAGCTCTGAAAATAATTTCCTACATTCGTCTTTAGGATCAGACGATAAAATCAAAAGTGGACTTTTTGTTTTGTTGATGTTCTCGATCAAATAAGAGCCATCTTTAAGTTGAAGCTTCCCATTTAGAATGACACAGCCTGCAAGGATGGTGCCAAAAAACACGATGAATCCGTGTGGGGAATCGGGCAACAGACTACAAATAACTTCTCCAGGCTGTATACCCAGTTTCCTAAGCTGCCTGGCGAAATACACAGACTGGTCTAAAATCTCCTTACACGTTAGAGAGGTCCTCAAACCATCCTTATCAACAAACACAAAGGCTTCTGAATTCGGATGAATCTTTGCCCAATGCTGTAATCTTTCTGGAATGTTGTAATTTTGGAGTGAATCTGGTTCCATGATCTGAAAGTATATAATAAGAATCTTGATTAGAAATGTGTAATAAGGATTATGTATGTGTAAATTTAAAGTAGCCAAATCACAAAATACGTCGCGAATATTCAAGATGTCGCTGCTCATTTAAAGAATGCCAGAATCAACCATTGATTTTCCACTAAACTTTATAAGCAACAACTCATCTCTCTATTTCACACAAACAATATTGTGATGTTTGCAATTTTGTAGGCATTAAAACAGTTTTTCGATGCTAACTAGTAAAAGATTGGTTCGGAACGTTGTATGTTTTCGGTTTCGAAAAGGAGTTTCGTTTAAGCCATGACTTTTACTCGGCTGTCAACTAAGCTCGTGATATGATTCTGGTATCTAAGAGGCATGGTTTCGTAGGAATCGCTGTTATTATGAATCGCTCCCTTTGGAATTGACCGTCATATCATTTTTTAGATAGTGTTTAGGCTCCGAATAGGCAAAATCACAGTCATAGTAATCATGCCATGAATCAGAAAAGTCCGAACCGTTAATTGACACGCCAAGAGGATAATGATCACGTTAAGAGGATCATGAACATGGATAAATGGAAATGAACATTATGTAGAATATAAACCGGCCTTAAAAAGGATAATGAACATGGAAATAGGATACTGAACACGGAAAGAGGATACTGAACATGTTAGGAAGATAATGAACACGCTAAGAAGATAGTGAACATGTAAAGAAGATAATGAACATGGAACGAAGATAATAAATATGTAAAGAGGACAGTGAACATGTAAAGAGGATAATGAACATGTAAAGATGATAATGAACAAGTAAAGATGATAATGAACAAGTAAAGTAGATAATGAACATGTAAAGAAGATAATGAACATGTAAAGAAGATAATGAACATGTAAAGAAGATAATGAACATGTAAAGTAGATAATGAACAAGTAAAGAAGATAATGAACATGTAAAGAAGATAATGAACATGTAAAGAAGATAATGAACAAGTAAAGAAGATAATGAACATGTAAAGAAGATAATGAACATGTAAAAAAGATAAAGAACAAGTAAAGAAGATAATGAACATGTCAAGTAGATAATGAACATGTAAAGAAGATAATGAACATGTCAAGTAGATAATGAACAAGTAAAGAAGATAATGAACATGTAAAGTAGATAATGAACATGTAAAGAAGATAATGAACATGTAAAGAAGATAATGAACATGTAAAGTAGATAATGAACATGTAAAGTAGATAATGAACAAGTAAAGAAGATAATGAACATGTAAAGAAGATAATGAACATGTAAAGAAGATAATGAACATGTAAAGAAGATAATGAACATGTAAAGAGGATATTGAACCTGTAAAGATGATAATGAACAAGTAAAGTAGATAATGAACAAGTAAAGAAGATAATGAACATGTAAAGAAGATAATGAACAAGTAAAGAAGATAATGAACAAGTAAAGAAGATAATGAACAAGTAAAGAAGATAATGAACATGTAAAGAAGATAATGAACAAGTAAAGAGAAATATGAACATGTAAAGAAGATAATGAACATGTAAAGAAGATAATGAACACGTAAAGAAGATAATGAACATGTAAAGAGAAATATGAACATGTAAAGAAGATAATGAACATGGAACGAAGATAATAAATATGTAAAGAGGATAATGAACATGTAAAGAAGATAATGAACAAGTAAAGAAGATAATGAACATGTA